TTAGTTAGCACCACCACTATTTTACTATAAAACATGTGTGTTAGCTGCACATATTCTATATTTTCTCATAATATTCTATATTGAAGTAACATGGGAGGTAGCATATATTAAATGTAATAGTCGAAGTGTATGCAAATTAATCTAGACACCATTATTATCCAAAAAATATATACATTGAAGCAGTACAAATGATACTAATAGGTATGTTCTCCTATGTAGCAATGAAGTTAAACTTAACTAGTATGTGGGCTTATTGTGTGTAAATTATAATACATACATATATAACTTGAGCTCAAGATAATGAGTGGTACTTTCATTTGTTGCCTTCAATATATATTGTTTAAGGTGGCGTATTCAATAAATTTCATAAAATAATATATGGTTTGGACCAAAGTTATTAGGTCTGGCCGAACCCGTAGTTGGTGGGCTAGCTCTGTCCCTGTCCATAAGGTAAGGGTAAGGTCTGTGTATATACTATCCTTCTCAGATCCTCACTACTAGAAATTCGGCCAAAATCGACCGCGACCAACCTACCGACTTTTGTCGGTCAAAAAACCGACCGAAAACCGAAATCAGACGGTTTTTCATATAAAATAAATTAAATTAATATTCAAAAAACTTACCGAAATCGGTCGATTATTTCAGTCAGTCATTTTAAAAAAACCGACCGACTTCGGTCTGTAATTTTATATTTTTAATAAAACCGACCGAAATCGATCGGTTATTTTCGCGCGAAAATACAATTAAAGAGTATAAATAAAATAAAAGAAAGTCTTAAACTAAAAATGTATCAATGGTCTAGTGGTAGAATAGTATTCTGCCACAATACAGACCCTGGTTTGATTCATAGACAATGCATTTTGCATAATTAAAAATACCGACCGAATTCGGTCGGTTTTTCGGTTAAAGTCGGAAGGAAATCGGTCGTTTTTTTCAGTTTTCCGATCGATTTCGGTCGGCATTTCTGGACGGTTTTAGGCAGTTTTTAATAGTGCCTACCTATGAAATTACATTAAATTTGTTATTATTGTTGCTGTAATATAACATTTAAGGTGCCAGAAACAGTATGTATTTCCAATTCACGATGATGTTTCATATTCGACATTATTGATTGCTACACAAATAAAAAACCTAAGTTTGCCTCCTATTATTTGGAACGTGTACCGACACCTTTTTTGTTTCATCATGGGTTCATATGGTTTGTTCACATTTAGCTTTAGACCAAAGCCTTTTATTTATTGAAAAGAAAACACAACTCCACTTGACTCCAACACGGAAATATAATGTGCGAAAACTTTTGAGTATTTAAAGTAATTTATTTAATTAATAGAATATTTCATGTTGATTTAAGTTGAACAATTGAGCTCAATAATTGGACACTATTTTGGTATACTAATCTGACACTTTATTTTAATGAACGGCTATAAAATTGTAATTATCATTAAATATTAATAAATATGGTAGCTAATTTAGCCAAATACCCCAACAGATAATTAAGATGACATATCTTCGTGTAGATTGTTATTTCACCTTATCACTCCAAATCTTGAATGGTTATGATGCAAGAATTAAGTCAATTATTAATTTTAAGCATACTATTAAAATAGTAGCAAAAACAGTAGTTAATATATTTAAGTACGTAATATTTAATTTTTAAATGTTCCCAAAAAATATTAATTCTCCTATCAATATTGTATATGTTTCAGTGACTGAAACTGATATATTATTTTTTAACACTTACCCAGACAATAGCATATTCTGTTGATTATAAATAAAAATAAAGGTGTATGCCTTTGTACCTTTATTTATTTGTTGAATAACAAGTAGCTATAAAGAATTAAAGTATAAAATCAAATGCTGTATGTTTGTTCCACATAGATGTATGGGGGTTGAATTCCTAATTCCAGACTACCAAACAAGGCATAATAAATAAATGCCTCATCTCTAATATTTTCACTTAAACTTATAAACAACAAAATTTATTAACATAAAATTAGAGTAAGCAGACGTCTTGAGTTCAGAATCTCATATAAAAAAATTAACACAATTTTTTGACTTGATTGGTCAAAAAAGACTAGATCAGCACGATAGAAAATATGTTATAGATCTAAATATTATGAAAATTCATTTTAGAATAATCATTTCGTTTAATTTATTCTTTGACTGCTCTGCTTTACGAAAACTATAAGATACCTTTCAATCTTCATGTACGAGTTGCATAAATGACTAAATGTGGTATAATGAACTTTAATTGATTATTGACCAACGAACAACATGAGAGGAAAAATCAAAGAATTATCGAATTATAATCTAAATAATTTAAACTTATAAGATAGTTTACACGCCCTTACACATATTTACTTCACATAGTTTTTCACACTTTTCCGTCGTAGCGAAATAGTAGGTTTTATTACCTACAAACTAAAATACTTGCATTATCTCTCCCTACAAGGAGAAGGAAAGCTGGTATGACAACATGCGTCTACTATTGAATTCACCCAACCCCGCATTCATTGTACTAGTTATTGCTATAACTAGTATTGTATTGGTGTATTGCTAGTAAACTAGAAAAAATCAGATCAATCAAGAGATAATAGTTCGATTTTTTCCTAAGGAAAGACAGACGGGTGACGATTGCCCGTGGGGCCTATCAATTAATTTTTTTTGAATTTTTTCTCCGGTATTCGATACTCACTTACGAGTAGGACTAATTCAAATTTGTGCCAAATATTTTTACTTAAATAGGTAAAGTGCTCCCTATAAAAGACGGGGTCAAATAATTGGTTCTTATGCAACAAATGCCAAAAAATAAGCCAGTCAAGCAAGGATGGCCCAAAGCAAAAAAGAAGACTACAAAGAAAGCCGTCCAGGGTGGTTTGGAGAGGACAAAAGTGGGATCCATCCGCCGCTGCTTCCATCTTCCACTTGGCCACTCTTCCCCATCCATTAATTTTTTCTCTAATATAAAATTTATTTAACATAAATTAAAATATTAATTACAACTATAATCTCTCTCTTTTTCTATAATCATTTAATATTAGAATTTTGGAATTCGCTAGCCCTATTAATTTAGATTCGTGTAAGTAAAAAACATTTCTTGTGAGGGATTTCTCCATTTTTAGGGTTTGAGTCCAAATCTTTGATGAGGAGTGAACTAATCTCATTCATTCACTACATCCATTGGTAGTAACGACGGAATAATGATTTGAAGTTTATGAATTCAGTATTGTAATCTTTTTATTATTGGATTCTAAATTAATAATTTGTAGATATAATAATTTTTTAAAGACAAATATATATACCAAAATTATAGGATTTGATCAAACCCGTAACTCGAACACTAGCTCCGTGCTGGTTGCATAGGCGAAGCTATGTTGGTCCAAGGGTGGTCAACTAACCACCATTCGTCGAAAATTTATACTATGTATAAGGTAAAATATTGTTTGTTATTGATTAAAAATAGACTTTGAACACCCTTGCATAGCCCACTAGTAAATGATGTTCAAAATTTGAACACCTTTATTGAATTTTCTGACTTCGCGATGGCTGGTTGGTGGTGTCTCTCTCATCTTCACGTTTATCTTTGAGTAGCATTAAAACATGGTCAACACTTTGAGATCCTTAACCATGATTAAGTCTTGTACACCTCACAAATCAATCAAACCACAACTAACCCTACCCACATAAATCTAAGCAAGGTTTCATATATACTACTAAAATAAATTCCTTCACTATCATGTTATTTTTTTTTTTAAAATAACACACTTGTAAAACACGAAAGCCATGACTGCCTACGCACCCCTAATCCAACTTGCTTCTAATTTCCTAAATCTTGACTTCTTACAAACATTAGTAAGAAATAATACTCATTCATTTCACGCAATTATTTTTATAATTTTCAACTGTTTACTGTCACCGGTCACTAATATTGTTCGCCTTTTTATTCTTTTATTATTTTGTGTCTCTAGAATTAGGGTTTTGGCCGGGAACTCACGGATGCAAAATTTTTACTATGGAGATTCAAAAAATAAAAAAATTAAACACGCCAAGTACTAAAAAATATATGAACCAAGTTTTCAAGAAACAAAGAAGACTAAATGAGCCTTTGTACTAAATTCGTTGACATACATCTATATATGCTTCTTACCTAATTGAAGATAAGGCTTAGTTTCTGTCTTATATACGTCAACTTTTTAAACAAGTTGATACAATAATGTAGTTTAATCAGTTATATAACACGTTATTGTAGTATATATATGTCAATTTAATTTAATGGTGTAAATTAAAAACCTATAAATTGTCATTACACAAAAATTGAACTCTTTTTTATAAGATTCTCGTTTCTTTTTAGATTAAAATCTAGCCAGAATTCAGACCCAAAATTAAGGAGTCTAAATTGTTTTTACATTTCATTGTTAACGTCGATTAATTTCAAACCAAAGAATATATTACTAATAATTTTAACACGGAAAGAAGTATAAGAATCCATTTGTCAACTAACGTACTCTATCAGTAAATCTGCTTCTTTCAACGCGCTAATTAACATGTTTATTTTAATCTCTAATCATTCTAGATTTAGTTTATATAAAAAAAACTGTATTATTAGTGTATTTTAACATGTTGTAGTAAATAATTTATTGTATCTTTAGGATACTAATTTTAATTGTTATAAACTATTACATGTAATTATTTTTTATTCATGACCCAATTGTATAAAAAATAATCTTACACTATACAATAGCGGAAAAAACTTTCATAAAAAAAAGTCAATATATAAAGAAGTATATAATATATATATACCTAAAATGTTACCTAGTTCCACGGTGTAAATTTTTAGAAGGAACAAAGATGATTCCACACTGCACTGGTATAAAAGTTAAAACTCTATTACTCCATAATATTTCTCTTTTAATAAAATCTGTAGTAGTTGAATAAAGAAATAATTTTCAATCCCTTATTATTTTATACTTGTATATTTAAACTTTAGGGTGAGAGAAAGAAATGACTGCGTTTGTTTGAGTCTTTGTCCCCCTTCTCTCACTCTTCTCTCTCTCTCTCCTTCTTCCTCCCTTCCCTTTCTTTGCACTCAAAAACCAAATCCCCATAGCACAAGCTGCAGGCAAGTCTTGTTTTGTAATCTCTATATTCAAATCTTGATATAAAAAAAATAATATCATCTTTTTTTAAGCCTTATATCTTTCCATTTTCCTCCACTTCCCTCTATTAAACAACAACAAAAAAGCAGTTTTTAAATTTTTTTTTTATTATTTAATATTATAGTTTTCTTGAATTTTCTTGTGTTTGTTGTACTTTTGATGTTTTGGTCAATATGGCTGGTTTGGATTTAAGCACTGCTTCTCATTTTGTTCATCAACTTCACCATCCATCTGACTTCAATCTCCAAAGACAACCTGATGATATTGAAGTTAACAACAAAAGCCAATTTTCCGATGACCATCACCACGGCGATAGTGGCGGTCACCGGAATCAAGGTAGAGAACATATTTTTATTTACTTAATTATATTTTCGGTCAACACGTCCCCTCACCCTTGAAATCTTGAATCCAAGACCTTTTGTCTGGTCTGATATTACGTTGACAGTCTCATCTAACAATTTAAATTGTTGGAAAGAACATATTTTTATTTAGTTAATTATGTTTTTTTGCAGGTGATATTGTTGGTCGGCGACCTAGAGGGCGGCCACCGGGATCCAAGAACAAGGCAAAACCACCAGTTATCATCACTAGGGAAAGTGCAAATACCTTAAGAGCACATATTTTGGAGATTGGAAATGGATGTGATGTTTTTGAGTGTGTTTCAACTTATGCTCGAAGAAGACAACGTGGGATCTGTATATTAAGTGGTAGTGGGACAGTAACAAATGTGAGCATTAGACAACCTGCGGCAGCTGGTTCTGTAGTTACATTGCATGGAAGATTTGAGATTCTTTCACTTTCTGGTTCTTTCTTGCCTCCACCAGCTCCACCAGGTGCGAGATTTTATAACCATCTCATCTAAAAATTTAAAGAAAATCAGTAGCGGAGTTAAGTTCAACGAAGGGGTTCAGCTGAATCCCCTTCGTGTAAAATTATACCTTAGTAATGGGCGAAAACAAACTTTTTTTGTATATCTGTATTTTCAATGAAGGGGGTTCCTTATGCTACGACCAACTCATCTAAAAATTTATATTGTTAGAGAAAACCAGTAGCGCACATAGCTAAGTTGAATGAAGGGGTTCTTTGTCGAAAAATTTTATTGTAGTAATAGGGTAAAAACAACTTTTTGTATATCTCTACGTTATTGAATCCCCTTGACGTGAGGGAAGTTTTAGATGTAGTGGTAAGAGGGATTCAAAAATTATACTACTCCCTCAGTTCCGATTTATGTGAATCTATTTCTGTCTGTTCCAAAAAGAATTATCCCTTTCTAAATTTGAAAACAATTTAACTTAAACTTTCAATTCTACTCTTAATGAGAAACTTTTATAACTACACAAATATTCTTGACCCCTTTCTGACTTTGTTTAGTACCACAAATTTCAAAAGTCATTCATTTTTTCTTAAACTTCGTGTCTAGTCAAACATGTTCACATAAATTGGAACTGAGAGAGTATTAGATATGACATTCTTATTTTTCTTTTGAATCCCTTTGTTAGGATTCTTGGTTCCATTACCGATGAAAAATACAGTTCTATTTACTTAATTATGTTTTCAATAGGTGCGACGAGCCTAACGATTTTCTTGGCGGGTGGACAAGGACAAGTGGTTGGAGGAAGTGTTGTAGGGGAATTGATTGCTTCTGGACCAGTTATTGTTATAGCTTCATCTTTTACAAATGTTGCATATGAGAGATTGCCATTAGAGGAAGATGAAGGAAGTCTCCAAATTCAACCACAGGTATCACAAGTCTCTAGTGGCAATGGCCCTAATAGTGGAGGTGGTGGTGGTGTTAATAATAATCAATTTCCTGACCCTTCATCTGGATTTCCATTCTTTAATCTTCCTTTGAATATGCCTAATGGTCAGCTACCATTTGGAGTCTAAAAACTACTCCCTCTGTTCCACTTTACGTGACGTATAGTTTGCAGTACGAGAGTCAAGCTGACTAATTCTTGAAGATTAGAGTAATGGATGTTGAGTACTATCATTCAAAAGCTCAAGTCGCATTGTCTATATCGAATGAAATCGACGAATAAATTAGGGTTCTTGAATCATAAAGGTAAGAGAATTAGTGTACCATGTTTGTACTAGTAGTCTTAGTGGTTGTTGGACTTATTTTCCACTTCTATTTTAGGGGGTTTTAATTTTTTTTCTTGTTTATTGTTCTTGGTTTTGTAACTCTATGAATTCTGAAAATACTCCTCCACTCTTAATGTTCTGAAATGGTTTGAGAATGCAATCCTCATATTCACTTTTGTTGTCATGGGAGTAACACACACACACACATATATACTTACTAATTATAGTAGTGCTATTACTATAACTGATTAGTTGATTTATGTTCCTCTTCATGTTTTTTCTATTTTATCAACCATAGATTATAGAAAGAAAATAGAATTTTTTCCTCATTACCTTGAGGACATATTGGATAGAAAGCCTATAGATTACGGGTTCAAATCGTTGAATCAGTCAGACAGTGATACTTGTATTAGGGTTGGTTGCTTACATCATACCTCTTGGGGTGCTGCCTTCCCGAACCCTGCGTGAACGCGAGATGCTTTGTGCACGAGTCCTTTTATTTTTTTAATAGTAATTAACTATAGTGAAACATTAAAAATTAAATGTATGTAATGGCAATAAGCATTTTAATTAGTTCTTCTACTGGATAAAAGCTCATGTGCTGGATATCTATTAATAACATGTCTTACATTAATGCTTGAGCTGAATTTTCTTGATTTTGCTACTAACTTTTTGGGAATTTGATCCCACTGGTCTTTGCTGAAAACAATGCTTATTTCTCTCAGCTAATTGACCTTTAGAAAACTGGCATTTTCATATGAGACACATGACAAGTTTTCAGTACTTTTCTTTCAAATGTACAATCAATTAATCTACCTCTCCATCATTCACCCTTTCACCCAATTTTCACCAAGAGAGTTCAACATTTACTATATATACATAAAAATAAAAAATTTGATCTTTCCCGCAAAAAGGTTCGAACGAACCCCATTCTGCTCCTCTAGCTCCGCCCCGCCTCTACCCCTAGCTAGCTCCTCATCTTCTCCTCTTATGTTACCTCCAAAAACAAAAGAAGAGAAAAAACTAAGGAGAACTATTTTTTAGTCTTGAGTTTTCATGAAATAGGGCTTTATTATATCCATACATTTTGCCATGAAATAGGGATTAAAACATAGGTCATTTTCTTCCTTGCTCTTTCTTTATTTAATCTGTGAGATTATCCTCCTTATTCAAGAATGTACATAGCTGAGTTCCATCTCCTTGTATATCAAGCACTATTCCCATTTTAGTACATGGTTTCTGACGATCGAAAGACGAATCTAGGATCTAGACTTAACAAGTTCAAGTATGAGTATAATCATAAAATATGTATACATTTTAATTTTCTTGTATCTTGACATGATATATAAATATAGTTGAAAACATTGAGTTCAGTTGAACAACAGAACTTGTTCTAGAATCGCCTTGTTCCGGACAAGAGGCAACTTTAATTTAAGAAAGAATGGCAAGATACTTGAAGTAAATGATTCAGTAGTACATGATTCAGGCTTCTTCATGATTTATGGAAAGAATTCTATGTTCCTTAATTAAATAAGGTTGCCGACTCTTACACCATAAAAAGAAGACCAGTTTTCGATCGGACAAGAGAAGCAACTAGAGTTGACTTTTTTGTTAGACCGACACTCAAGACCCAGTTGCGAGCAATAGCGTCTTACCACGAGCTCCCATTCTGCGGCGTGGTGGCAGGACCGCTAGGTGAGTGGCTCCGGGTATAGATAGGGTTAAATCTGCTAAAACTGAGTTAAATTTAGATTGTCAATATTGAAAACCACAACTCCCATTGTTCTTCCTCTTGAGTTTGTTCTTTCCTTCTCTTCTTTGGGGTGGGGTGGAGACTATAAGAAGCCGAACCGGATCTAGGACAATCTCTATAAGTTCAATAGAACACATTATTTTTTCCTCGAACTATCTTATATATATTTAAAATATATTTTAAATGTATACATATAATTAATTATGTACAATAAAACTAGGTTCATTCTTCTCGGTTAAGAAGAGGCTTCAAGTGTACAACATACTTTGTGAAATACGTGGGGATTTTAATATTTCTAAAATGCAGATAATATTCTTCACCATAACCTTAACTTATAATTAATCGCTATACATTATACCGAAAGATTCTATTTTGTCTTCCAATAAAGAAGATTTTTCACTAAACAGTGGACTTTACATCTTCAAGTTAGCTTTATTCTCCACTGAGAATAAACTCAAAAGGAGTTATGGATGTCAAGGAAAATGGCTCAATTGTCTAAGAGATCTTTAATGCACTGAATTAGCTGTAAAAGATTCCTTAAATATGTTTAAAATCCATATTTTGTACCTCAAATATGCTTAAAATCCCATATATTAATTAATCTCTTGAGGTCATGCTTATAGGCTATAGGTTCAGATTAGTGGTGGGATTCGTTTGAAAATTGAAAGAATCATGTTATTTTATACAAATTGATAAAGATAGAAGTTAGGTATTTTAGTTATGTAAATAGTCTTTACATATATATTACTAGTATATATTCATTTTTGTTAAAAAATAGATTTCTGCTGGTTTCAGCATCCTCTTTGGAGTCCCGACTAATTTAGATTCGCCGCGTAAAACCGAGAAAAGGAAAAACATTTCTTACCAGAACTCACAAAATCTCTGGTAATTGAGACATTCTATCTGTCTCATCACAACTCTTCGTGGTAAACTTGTAGGAATTAATATTGCTTTTATAGGAATGTATTGCAGTTAATTATTTGCATTTTATTTTTTTAATTTTAGAGGCTATAAAAGTATTTGATAGAAGAGATCGTGCTTACCTTTTTTCTCGTACAAGAGATATCTGTAATTTAAAGATTTTTAATTTCTATATATTGATAATGTACAACTCTTTATTCCATCTGGCTAAGATGTCATATAATAATAGGTTCTAAAAATGTAATAAATAACTTTCTTGTTAAATTTCCCTGAAAGTATAAAAATTCTTTATCATGTCACTGTATTATATAAGTTAAACCCTAAATATAAAATGGAGAGATCATCTATTTTTTGTTGTTTTTTCCTTCTTCTTTTTTGATAATTATAGAAGGTGTTAGCGTACATATTACTTAAGAATTAATATCCCCTAACTCAACCTTGTTCTTGTAACACATAAACATATAATAAATCTAAGAAGAGATTGGTAGTATTAGATACCTTGCAAATGCTGTACTTCATAGCAATTTAGTCAACATATGTTTCAAAATTAAAAATGGCCACTTATCTTTCCCATATCTAATTTTTGCTAATTTTTAATTTTTTCATAATTTTGTTATCCGAATCAATTTGATGGCACCTTTATTAATTCGACGGGAATATTTGCTTACCTCCTACCAGCACATGTACCAAGTAATTCTATCACTAGCGATTGGACAAATGAAAAAATTGGCATAATATTTTTAGGACATAGATATCTTAGCTTTGGACATAGACTTTGCAAATTATTTTGTTAAGGGGGTGGGTGGGGGTAGAAGTTTTTTGCTTCCAATTATGAGTTGTTAGGACATAGATATCTTAGCTTACCAACTAAAATTGAATAAACTAGAGATGAATTATTTAAGGAAGACTCGAACTAAATTTAATTAAATAGATTTTTGTCTTTTCTAGGCTATTATTAAACTATCAAACAACTTGTTTAAAACTCAAAATAGCCCAAATAAACTATAGAGCTGACCAAAATCACGTCTGATAGTGATCTATAAATTAAATTATATATAACCTCTATGCTTAGCCCTCCGTTTACTCAACAAGCTACTCTAAGTTTTATGATTATTTTAAAGAATAAATTAGTGGCAAATTAGTTTGTGTCCAATAACAATTATTAGGATTTGATTAGGCCAATATTCTAATTGCAATGACATTTCTAAATTGGTAATGATTAATTATTGGATTTAAGTTGCATATACTGATTGTATAAAGAATTTAAGCTACCAGTGTTATTAGCTTGTTATTTCAAGGTATGTTTCATTTATTATAGGTCATAACAAATACTTTTTAAATAGTTTTATTTATTGTGTAAAATCTTACACGGCCAATGTATAAAACTTAACACTCTTGATTCTTTTGGCAGAATATAAAACATTGTTTTTCATATCTCAACTCCGTAGGAAGACTTTACTACCTATAGTTTAAGTCAATTTGTATTTAACCCCTCTATATTTTCATATACTTTATTTTATTATAACTAGCTAAATTTTAATCTTTACCTAGTCTTTATTCCTACTTATCTTATTATTTTTTCTCTGACAAAGTTTCTTATTAATATATAGCACTTAATGCCATAATTAGCATCTAAGCTAACAGCCCTAATTGTGGGTATATATAAAGAATATGTCATATATATATAAAGAATATGCCAAGGACAGCCAAATATAGAAGAGTTTATGATCACTTTATACGAAATTCGTAAATAATTAGATTTATTTGACCTATAACAACTGATTTCAAGCCTGTTATAGCGATTTAGAAAATAGAGTAATAATAAGGAAAAATATCAGCTATGTCCATTTATAAGTAGACTATTATAAAAATTGGTCAATTCATAAAATATTGCTAATATTAGCCAATTAACTATTTATAACCGAAAAAATTAATTTTTTATTTTCTTTTGAGTGAGTGTTATTAAAATAAATTGGGTACATCTTAAGAAGTTTGGATCTCAGTTTTGGGATGATTTGGTGGAGTATTTAGGTAGTTTGAATTGAAAATTTGAAGTAGAAGATGAACATGGAAAAAATTATATGTGTATCACATATGTATCATATTTGTATCAAATTTGTATCACATTTATATTCATATATACTTGCGTGTGTGATACATGTGTGATACGGTTTGATACATGTGTCGCAGAATAATTTTTTGAACTTGATTTAAAACTACGAAGTTTGATACCAAATAAGTCCAAATCATCTCCAATCTTCCTCAAATTTTGTATACTGACTAATCCATATGTTTTTAATGAATTTCAATCATACCCATTGAAAAAGATCTTCTTTTGCTTAGATTTTTGAAATTTTATATATATATATATATATATATATATTGTATTTTATCACCTTGTTTTCTACCTCATTCATAAAATTTTCTTTCTGTCTTACTTCTAATGTTGCTGATCATGCTTAATAATATGGAAGGAGATCTTTACATATGATTCTTGGAGAAAAAAAATCTTATTTATTTGATTTTTTAATTTTTATATGTGCTTGGCTAGTTTTGATAAATCTATGATTGATGACTAGAGGTTGGTAAGTTAGAATTTATTTGGGACATTTATGTAAGATTTTTTAATAATAACCGATTAAATTATATTAACGATATAAAATATAAACATTGCTAGGGTGGAGATCCTCTTTTTAGCCCCAATTAGAATCCCTTTCAAAAAGTTTATCTTTTTGCAAATATTTTTTCTCAAAGAACGTGAAAGAGAGCTTTAGCGCAATAGTTATTGTCGTGTGATTAGGAAATCACGTTCAAGCCATGAAAATAATTTGTCTTGCAAAAATGTAATGTACGGCTGTATACAATAGACCTAACGTAGTCTGAACTGTCCTTATTTTCTTTTTTTATTTCCAAGAAACTTTAGAAAAATCTTAAAGTTATCCAAACGGATACATAACCCTCTTTAATTAATCAAAAGTCTTCTCCAAACGGCAAATATACATACCTAGAACGTCATAGTCCCAATTATAATTCGAAAGAAATGACTAGGATGGATATAATCCTTTCACCAGTAGAATATATGGGAAATTTTTTGGCATGAAACGTTTTCTCCTTTAATGTGCCTTACTTCGGCATGAGCCCGAATTAGTCGGCATCAAAGCTAGTACCGAATACCGAGTGGAAAATCAAAAGAAAGTGCAATGCTTTAATTGCCCAACACTTAGACTGTTCAAAAAGTTTGGAAACCTTGGATAATTGCCAAGTCAAAGAGCCAAAACAAATTGATTGAAACCTCAAATCCTATAAAGGAAAAAACCCAAATCAAATTTCGGAGCCTCAAATAAGCCCGTGGACTGTCGGATTTCTGTAGATGTCCAACGGTCCAATTTTTTTGGCCCATCAAGAAACCTTGCTATAAAGTATAATGTAGAGCAGTGCGTGAAAATAGTACGGGCTAGCCAATTTTCGGACTGATAATAGTCAGCATTTGCAAAGTCATTGAAAAATAGCCACTATTTTGCTGCAACACGAAAAGTTCCAGCATAATATACTGGAGATTGGTGCACCTGTGTATGAACTTCCAACATATTATGCTGGAACTCCAGCACACGAAAAGTTCCAGCATAATATACTGGAGATTGAAACTCCTGTGTATGAACTTTCAGTATATTATGCTGGACCATTATATTATACTGGAACTCCAGTATATTATGCTGGACCATTATATTATACTGGAACTCCAGTATATTATGTTGGAGGTCTAGTATATTATGTTGAAAGTTCACATGTAAAAAATTCGAACTCCAGTATATTATGCTGGACCATTATATTATACTGGAACTCCAGTATATTATGCTGGAATATTTTCCGGATTTTGAACAGCGTTTTCGTTCAGATTTATCTTTACATGAAAAATGGCTAAATTTTGATTACTTTTGAAACTGTGACTATTTTTCAATTACCATTTGTAAATCTGGTTGTTTTTGAATTTCATCCGAGTTGTGCCCATTCAATTTTCCTCCCTGATTTATTTGGTAGTCCATTTATTTCTCGGACGAAATGCAAAATGGGTTGGTCGGCCGAACGAACTGCATGTGCGAGCCAAAAAGTATATATATTATTGGTCTATTTTCATGTTGTCACACCAACATTGTTGTTGTTTACTATGCATTAGTAAATATTATTAAGTTGGACAGGAAATGTAGTAAAATTGGGTTCCTAAATCGTATGAAAGTATCATGATCAAATGTGGACTTTCAAGGAGTAAGCATCAATTTTGTGGCAATGATTTGTTTACAATAAGAAATAGATTTTTGTTTAGACATTTACTTGAGACTCTGTTAAAGACATGTGGTATATATGATAATGAATTTATTTGAACATTTATTCAAAATTCTGGTAAGGATATAGATGACATGATAATCATTTGTCCTTAATCTCAATTTTTATTATTGTCATTTCTATCAATTGGTATATATTCTTTCCAAAATAATCAACTGTGTCTAAATATTCAAATAATCTTATCTTGAACTTCTTTGTACAAGAGGATAGAGATAAAAATGTGTTAAACTTGAAGAAAAAAAGGAAGAAAAGAAAAACAGAATACCTTCTTGTTAATCTATGTAAATTTCTCCTCATCATAAGAAATGGACCTATAGACAGTCAAGTAAAATTCAATCCACTTCTAATATCGAATCAAGATCGTACTTTAATTTTGTTAATAACTATCTTGAGCATAAAAGTCGATAATTTCCTTGAGATTAAGCTCAAACAAAGAAGAACTATCATTTTGCATCAACCACAACATGTGTTCAAACAAGATAGAATCCACATCCACAAAAATCAATTTCTTTTCTCTAATATTCTCATTTACTTTCCCTTCATCTACTTCTTTGTTCCTCACCATTTCAATCAAAACCCTAAAAGGGCTTTCTTCCAATATAAATGGCTCCACCAAGAATTCTCTCTTCTCCCTCCCCACGATCACAGTTACCTGATCAGTATCTGAATCTTCATAACCATTTTCAGATAGTGATTCGTAACCTAACCGGCTTGAACGACGCCTTTTCAAGATTGATATTGGCAGAATTACGCAATCCATAAGGTGAATTTGCAACACCACTTGCTAGGAAATTTGTATGTTTAGCTAAAGTACTTGTATGATAGATGAAGAGTTCTTGAATGAGGGTATAGATTGAATTGGCCAGCCAAAGGGTTAATAAAAGGTGTATATATAAAGACAACTTATAATACAATTCTATTTTAGTGCAGAGTTCTGTAGGAATATGGAAAGTGACAGACAATTTGATAAATGGAAGGCCCTATCTTAAGCTTGAAACATGTCACATGCATGCAAGGCTATACTAGGCAATTTGGGGTAGTTAATTTCACGAGCAGAATTCAGGATTTGAAATTTATGGGGTTTTACAGCAATCTCAAGTTAATATATATAATAATTACTAGGTTCATAGTCAAATATATATAAATATTTAGTTAATTTCTTAATACATATAACAAAACTACTACGTTCATGTGAACTCGTATATAATACTAGTCAATTTCACATCAATTGTCAAATTATATGATTATAGTTCTAATTCTTTTTCACGAGTCAAGCGCGTGAAAAATATTTCTTCTAATGAATGGCAGTGAAATTTGAATTTAAGTTGAGAATAATGCTTAGACATTGTTTAAGGAAACTTAAGTGGATATACAACCTCCCCAAAAAAAAAAAGGATATACAACTTTATCAGTTTCTGATATTCCAACTAATTTTTGGCCAATTAGCAACTGCAAAGAGTTGAGTTTCAACTAAATCAAACACCACCAAACTTTTGTAGACTGACTAGATCATTACTTAGATTTTACTTTGATTCAAGGTAGTTAGTACACACGAATGAGCAATATCTGGTACTTGATTTTGACTGAAGAATGAAGAATAATTACTTAGACAAGAGTGGGTTGTTTTAGCGGTGAACATCCTCCACTTCCAACCAAGAGGTTGTGAGTTCGAGTGACCCCAAGAGCAAGGTGGGGAGTTCTTGGAGGGAGGGTCTGCGTACAAATTACCCTAGGGTAGGGGTAAGGTCTGCGTACAAATTACCCTGCCCAGACCCCGCTAGTAGGATTATACCATGTTGTTATTGTTGTTGTTGTTGAATGAAGAATAATTACTTATAGAACAAGGTTAGTGGTAAGTACACGTAGCCATCTGCATAAAATTGGGTACAAATTTGTGGTATTAGTTAGAAGTCACTGGTTTATGGCTTTGACATCAAGGATGGAGCTAGAAGACAACTTACGGATTCGATCGAACTCAGAAGATATATTCTAAATTTTGTATTTGTGTTAAGAAGTTAATTACATATACAAAAAATTTAAATTCAAAATCTATTTATTAGTACTTGAAGTCGTTATAGAATTCAAAACTCATAAAATTCAAATCTTGAATCCGTCACTCCTACCGGACACCAACTTGGCCAGGTTGAAGTTGAAACTTTGCTTGGCTCAAACCTAAATCACTAATTGTTTTGTCACTGTTTTCCAGCACATTTTGATATTTGGCAGAGATACTTATTATTTTCATTTTCCAACCAATCTGACTATTGACTAGTTGATAGCTTCTGTTTATAAAATGTGTTTTCTTCTTTATTTTCCGTATTTATTAGTTCAGAGGTATATTTGAATATTTTCCCGGTATATTTGAATATTTTCCCAAAAAAATAAAGTACTAAATATAGCAATTATAACAGCAAATTTATCATGCATACCAGCTTGTCATGAGTCAGGACTAAACTCTCAAAGGCTTTTTTTACTTTTAGCCTGCGCCAAAATCTATTAATATTCGATAGCCAAAAAAGTATATAAAATTTATATAATTTTTGTATATAACATACAGAATCAAAAAATATATATATTTTTTCAGCTACTATTTTGAAAGCTGTTATTTTCCCTCTTAATAAATTAGCAAGTTTTCTAAACTAACTTGGACCTTATAAATATGAGTCATAAAAGTGAAGGAAAAGAGGGCAAACTTCTAATAGGAAATAGAAGAATTATTATGGCAGAAATAGTAATTGCATTGAGACCTAATCAACTCAGTTTATGACTACCATATCTAACAAATACCTAGAAAAGAAAGTTACCAATAAAATTAGTTTGGCAAACTGAGAATAAGTAAATACTCAAACCACAAAGTCACCTAAAATATACTAAGACTAAGGTGGTGAAGAAACCATGACTTGACTTTCTGCAATTTTGCCATGCCTTTGACCTATCCTACAACTGATAAACTAAAGGGTGAAAACCAAGTAAGAAAAAATAAGAAAAAAGAGAGAAGTAATCAAGCTGAAGTCAAGAACTCGATATAACGCCTATAATCTGCTGCCTATGATCAGTCGCGGATCAAGAAGACAAATACCCTTGGGAACGTCGTGTCAAGTTAAGGAAGCATTTTCACATTGTTTGGCCCCAGTACGTTGGCATACCGTGCATTGGTTGCGCAACATTACCAAAAGGTCCCTGTTCGTGGCTGAGAGGACTTCCACCGTTCTCATCGGATGAGTCGCTTGAGGCACCCTGGGAAGGAGAGCTCGCCTCAGTGACCGGAGCACCAAAATTCAACATATTGGAAGTTGGAGTCGGAGATGGTGCCTTAGACTTGGGCTTTTTGCCTTCCGCAATGAAGCTACCCACAACCACCTGGTAGTGAACAGAAAACTGTTAGCAAGTAACACGATATGCATACAACGGCATGCAGATTGTTCACAAGCGGTGTCAACATTTAAAGAAGAGCTATGTTGCTCGTACTCTCCGAAAATGTCAATGAGCGCTCGTCACACGGGTGAGGCAGCTGTTTTGGAGAGTCTGTGCAACATAGAAGAGCGCAAATACGCAAACCAACTGTGTAACATTTTAACATTTATTATCACTTTAGTTTGTGTAAAGGGGCTTTAGCCTATCGATTTAGTCGAATCTTATTTCTAGAGGTCAGGTTTCGGTTTAGTACCACCTTTATTTTTTAAGAAAATAGGCTAAAATACGCACGTAGCTTGGGGTTCGAATCCCCAACCTCTAATAAGCAAATGAAACGCTTGACCAGTGGACTAGGAAGCACTATTCATCGAGCAGTGTCTTTTTACATTATTTTTTCCTACTTTTTGCACATTATTGTATGTATATTTAAATTTTCTGACGAAGTGGTAGTTAGAATAGCACCTGTACTGGAGTGGCAGCCATAAGCATCCCTGCAACTCCACCGCCCAAAACTCTACCATCTGGCCCAGACAGCGACACGCTTAGACCACCTGTTCTGCTACGGCTACCATTACTTTCTGATAGCAAGAATGAACCCGATAATGAGATGATTTCAAATCGGCCCTGCATATAAAGAATAACACAATGCTCGATGACCAATGCCGAAAAGGTATGTTACAAGACAATCAGTATACATGCAATCATCACCTTTTTCAAATTCAGCATTAACATACAGCAGACACTTCACAACTTTTGCGATAAACGCACATCAAATTACTTGTGCAATATGCAATACACAAGAGAGAGAGACCAAGACAATCAAATAACTGAAAATTGGTATGACAACTCGTTCCAGATAAGTTTATTACTCAGAACTACCCAAAGCAATGGTTTTCCGTTGTAGCTGCTCTCATTTTTTCTCTCAATCTCTTCTTTAGGATAAGATTGACAACGCACGAGTTGATGTCAACATAACAAAACCACAAGGTTATCCGTCATAAAATAAAACGATCAGATACACCTAAAATCGTATTAACCAACTTCTGCAAAAATGATACTTCAAGAGGAATAACTGGGCTTCATAAATGAAGAAGTCTCTGACATCACAACAGAAAGACCAAAAAGGGGAAGAGAAAGCCTCAACTGAGTTAATTCGTTTCGTATGGGCTTAATACCATCCGTTGAAGGTTTTATTGTGTTTCATCCCGCTTCAAGTACATTCATCGTCAGGGGCGTACGTAGTGTGATAAAAGAGGTTCAATTGATCCCATAACTTTCGACGCGGAGTAAAAATTCGTTAAAATTGCAAAAATAGTAGATATGAACCCATAACTTTAAAAATATAATGTGTTCAATGCAACCTATAGAGTTCAAATTCTAGACCCGCCTTTGTAATCATCATCGCTCCTATGCAAACGCTTCTAAAAGAAAAAAAGGACTACCACACATGCAACAGCAAACTCCAGCAAAAACACTATAACATATACAATTATACATAGGGTAGCTAAGAACTACCACACATGCAACAGCATAAGGCAACAGAAAAAGTAAGTGTCTTTAAGCTAAAACTCATACAGACCTCATAGGTCACAGTGCCACCACCCATTGCAGGTTGGCGAAGAGTGACATTAGATACGGCTCCATTTGCAGATAGAATACAAACTGCCCGTGGTCCTTGCTGTGAGAAAGCCATTACCTTTGACGATATGTCCTGCGGCCAAGGTAACAGAATTGCAATCATAAAGAGAACTCAACAAAAAATTCACAAGACTGGGACTTCAATTCAAGTCAACAAGAAGTTTGATTATGGGTAAGATATAAATTTTACGTATTAGTTACATTAGACTTTTTATTGTTAACAAATGGAGTTGTGAACCCCAAAACATTTCTGTTACCATTCACCATATACGACAACTGATGCAACAACACAATTTAGATATGGTAGCACCTCTAGTAACTACAAAAACCAGGTGCACGGGGTTTTAAAAAAATTCACCGACAAAAGACGCTCCATATCCCACTTTAAGTTTAACCTAGATCACCAAGATACTACCTCTATTTAAAGTTTAAACCTTGAAACCCACAAGCAAACAATATAATGGAAGCCAACTCTGACAACATCTAATCAAAATGCTGAAAATTACATCCTCCAAGTAATTCATTAACATGTTTGAGATGAAATATTAGAGGTTTCCAAAACATAGGGACAAAACTTAATGCAACTAAACAAGAGAAGTTAAGATGGAAGAGCCAAAATCTTGCCTATACAAATAAAAGGAAAGAGAATAATGATGATCGGAACGAAGAACACACAAATGAAACTCTGCATGTGTGACATGAATTAACAACAGTACCTTATTTAGCTCATGAAAGACAAAAAGGTAAAAATTTCCAACTTACAAAAGATCCAAAAAATATCTCATCCTTCCAAACCACTGTATTGCAACTTGGAACCGTTGCACAAAAGCATACCTTTATTTCACCATTAGAAACTCCACCAAAAATTGTAGTTTGGTTCTTTTAATTCATCCTAGAAACTTGTCCACAATCAGTTACTGGCGTATCAACCCAAAGATTAAGAAAGGAATCCAACGAAATACTATGTACAGAAGTAAACTGATCTCTTCTTTTTCTCTCATAAGAAATTGGAAACTCGAGCCGGTTGCAGAACAACAATGTACAGCACAAAAACATGCAGACTCATGCATTTGTAAAATACATAGGTTAATCAGAGTTTTGTAAATCATGCTGTTAAAAACAGCATGCTTTACCCCAAAGATCAATAAGCAAAAAGATATTTTACCTCGCCAATGTTCACAGTGATTAAATGCGGTGTAAAGCCGAATCCAACTGCACCTGTCAACCATCAAGAAACCCAATAATCACTATGTTGCAGGTGCTAAATAGGTAATCACTCACCTCTGTCGCAAAATGTTTGGCACTTCTCACTTACCAAGAATCAAACAAAGTGAACTTTGACTAACATAAATATTTTCTTATCCACCTTTTTCCTACAAGAATTTCAACTTATAGTACTTTTCAATGTATCCGACTAGTTAAATTTTAATTTCATTAAATTAATCAATATATTTGCCCCCTAAAGTTTAGTCAACCTGACTCTGATTAGAACACGGTGCCAAACAAATTGGGACATAGGAGAAAGTTGAGGAAAACAAAAGGCAATCTATAAAATATAGCAATGATAAGCAATTTAAGCATATGTATTTTCCAAATGAGTTTTGACTTCTACGCATGAGTGTAATGTCAGTTTGTAATCGTCCCTAAAAAGCTGGATTAAGCATATGTTTTTTCCAAATGAGTTTTACTTATATGCACTGAAAATATAAATGTCAGGTTAACTACATGTAACCGTCCATAAAAATAAGGTAGGTTGCATGCGGTAACAAGTTGAACTACATTAATATAGTAAAACATATTTATATTATCAGTGCATATAAGTTAAATTCTTTACATCATCAATGTATATAAGTTAGATCCACTCCAAAGTAGAAGCTTAATACATATTTTTTTGAATTAAGCTGGTGCTCGTACCAACTTGCGTGGCCCTCGACTATTCCACCGGTACCTACTACCTCTCACCAGCACAAGCACACGTATCGAGTAACTCTAACCACCAAGGCTAAGCCAAACAGGAATAAATCACCTAGTGTTTTGCCTCTACTAAGATCTCAACCTAGATACATAATTAAAACAGCTAGATACATAATTAAAGCAATAATGAAGACAAATATACCAAAAGCTTCTACTTGTTTCTTTCCCGAGCCAGGAGGCCTCCCACGGGACTTCTTAGAAGGGTTCTCTCCATTATTACCAGCAGCAGCAACAGAATCTGGATGACTAACCACTGAAGGAATTTGAGTAACTGGATTAGGAGAAAGGCCCAAAGCAATGTTATTATTATTATCAGTAGAGTACTTTCTGGGCCTGCCTCTTTTCTTCTTAGCAGGCTCAATGCTTAACCCTATAGCAGCAGATGATGATCCATCAGAGTAATCAAGATTTGATTTTGGGTTTGGCCCAGAAACTGAATTGAATGGAAATTGTAAGTTCTGTTGTTGGGGTTGTTGCTGCAGCTGTTGGATATTAGGAAAGTTGGGTCGTTCTTGTTGTTGGGGTTGGGGTGGTAGGGGGGGGGTGACACCATTGATCCATGGGCATGTGGGGGTGGTGGTTGGTGGTGGGTTGGTAGAGATTGAAGGTGGGGTGGGTGGTGAAGTGGTGGGGGTTCTTGAGAATCCATAGGACAAAAAAGAATATACTCTAAAGAGTGGATATAATTATGGGAGATGCAATGTGAAAAGGATTTTTTTCACAGTGAAGTATGGATTTTGTTGTGTTTGTGTTTGGGGGGGCTGAGGTTAGGGGGTGGGGTGGTGTTGTCTACTGAAAAACTCTGTTTAATAAAGAGAGAGAATACAGTGTGAAAGGAGAAAAGGGAAAAAGAGAGCGGAAGGAGAAAAAAGGGGAAAGAAAGTTTGGAATATTAGGGTTTTATGAATTAGTTTAAGACTTTAAGTTGGAGTGAGAGGGGAAAGAAGGTTGTTTGGAATTTTAGGGTTTTATGAATAAGTTTAAATAATTAGAGGTCTCGCTTTTGAGCTCTAAATATGAAGAAATTTATCGGATTCGTTTTCACAAGAATGGGTTGTGAATTTGGGTTAGTTGGATTAGTGTGTTTTCGACACTTGATGTATAAAATATTTGTATAGCTAGATTACTTATAAACTAATTATAATTTTAAAAAAATTATAAATATTAATTAATAATCTGAGAAAAATAATAACCAACTTACTATCATAAATCAAACTATAAATAAAATATATAAAAAAAAGATCTTATCGTGATCATTGTATATAATTTAAATCATTCGAGAAGTCATTTTTATTTTGAAGACATTTCAAGCTCTATCAATTTTTTTCCTAGAATTTGAATTGCACATTTCAAACTCCTCACATGTAAAAACTTGGAACACCGACACATTGTGCTGAAGTTTTCCCGTACTTTAGCTAAAAGTACTTTTGTCCAGATTTTACTTCTACATTAAAAGATAGCTAAATGTTGAATAGTTTTGAAATGGTGGCTAAATATTAAATAGCAATTGGGAAAGTGGCTATTTGCCCAATTCTTCCTGGCTAATCGCATGTATTTCATAGTGTTATTTATAGCCACTTTGTCTGTTAAACTAGGTATTGTCTTTGAAAATGTTGCTCCTTGAACCACTGTTAATAATGTAAAATGTTTTTCATACTTTGTTTTCTAAATCATTTTGAAGGTTACAGTTTTAAGAATTTTAACAACATAACATACCTCCAAATAATTGAATAAATAAAACCAAAATAAGATTCATTAAGAAAACACAGAGAGTCCAATAATGTATGATAATCCATAGATGATTGAACCAATAGAACAAATTTCAATTAATGGAAGGTTAAATTTGCTCAGTAAACATATAAGATAAGAAAGAAAAATGATGGGAAGAAATTGTGGCTGCAGAACCAAATTACTAACAACAGCTTCTAATTCATTTCCAGGAACCAGACATGATATAGTAATTTGTGTGGGGAACAATATCAAACAAACCAACAATAGAAACAACAGGACTATGCCAGCTTTAACTAAAGGCTTCTTCTTAGTCCTCATAAAGAACTCACCACAACAAAAAAATTAGAGAAAATGATCAAGCTCGGCCTCAATCCCAAACTAGTCGGAGTCAGCAAAGGAACGAAACACGAGAACTCTCTAAAGGTCATCCATCCTAGTACTACACTCGCCCAAGCACATTTAAAGTATAGAATCTGGTGCGTAAGTGCTGGTATGATTGCATCCTTCGAACATATTACTTTAACACTGGGCATCAATCTACAACCGCCTCAAACTCACATAAGCTGTTTTATCTTAGCACCTTATCTCATATGAACCAGCTTTAGTGATGTAACGAACCCATTCAACTGTGTTGTAGCCACTCTTCTCCCACACCTGCACAGAGCTAACCACATGAAGCTGAATTTCATACCAAAGAAAAGCACTATTGAATTGTAATTTTGCCAAACATACCTTGAGAAACCGAACACGCAATCCAGATGCTGTAAACATGGGAACCTGCATCGAACAAGGAACTGGTAATGAGCTCTCGAACAAATAGAATAAACCACAATAAAACAAGTTATCATGCCAAAAATACAAACTGTAGAGGAACACAGTTATCATGTGGTAGGGCAAATATTTACCTGAAATTCCATCTGAATTGGCGGCCGAGTCAAGGACTTCTTCTCTGTAATTGTCGAAATTAACTCAACCTCAGCACTCAATGTCGACTCAGTTTGCCCCGGAAATTTTCTTATCCTGCACCACATTGTCCATATTGAAAATTCTATTCTCGGAAAAACTAGATTTAATGCAGAAGAATGCAGCAAAAACAGATAACTGTGTTCCGAACAATAATGATCATTGTATAATTAAATTGTATTAACAATAAACTCCTAGATACAGAGAAAAATGAAAGTAAAAACACTTGTATGCTCGACAATGACCTGGAAATCTGAAGTCGTATATATATTGAAATATAAGCATAAAATAGAAGAATTCGGAAGGAAAAAAACAGCACAGGAATTTTCAAGCAATTGAGCCATCTATTACTACATAAATCCAGGACCTAGTGAAATGATCCTCCTTTTGCCAGATTATCTGATCTTACACAACTGATCTTAGGTTAATTCAATTCCTCCAATTAGTCACAATGGGACGAGAAGTGTAAACATTGGCTTCTCCTACTCTCCCTGAAGTTGTAACAAAGTGTGCACTTGGAGGCAAGCAACTCATGCAAAGAAAATACCATATTGTTCTTAATAGAGATGAGCTACATTCTACATAAACAAATTTACTAAGACGAAACTGTACGCACTACGCAATTCTACTTGCTACAAAGAAAGCATCCATAGGTATAGATTGTGTAAATACCTGTGATAGCATGTGCACACAGACATTATACATGAGTAAATACAGATACATGTGATAGGCACACCCTAAGCTAATGGTTCGGCAACAAATAATTCAATTGCTCCAGGTTGAACAAAATGGAGCAGTACTAACCGTGCATTATTATCTAGAGATGAAGAGTTTCGGAAAACAAGCTCCTTAATTGTGGGTAGTCATTTTCAAAAACATTAACACGGTGAAAAACAAAGAGATTAGATGTGGAAACTTACAGATTAATATGGACGAGAATATCTCCCCATCCAAATAATTGTTGTTTGTGTTTTTTTAGTTTTTTTTTGCATTATACATACACAAACATGTACTAGATTTCTCAGCGCTTTAATTGTGCTTAGCGCTATAAGCCCTATTAAAACTTGGCGCTTCTCTGTTCTTTTAGTTTTGACAACACCAAGTAGCAGATAGTAATAAAAACAGATTTTTTCTATCGGTTAGTAATAGAAACAGATCTGTAAAGTTTAATTAAGTGACTATGAATGTTGCTAGGGTGCATTTTCAAAAAAAAAAAAAAAAAAATGTTGCTAGGATGATCCAAGATATTCTGCTGGTGGGAGAATTTGAAGTGATGAAAGAGATGTGAATTTCTATGCATAATTCGGTTGAAGAACCGCACAAGTCAAAATGATTTCATTAATAACCCAACAGGCCGATGCCATAAATATATACAATATGGACATTTAGGCTATTTTTCACCTCCTAACAACCCTACACGATTATGTCTACAAAGCGTATCCTCTTTACACCAAAGGCACAAGAGAACAAACTCTTTATATTTCTTAGTTTTATTTTTTTCAATCCATTGAAATATCCTTCAATTCCTTTCATTCCATTCTTTTTTCTAAGTCACAATTCCTTTCATTCCAAATTGGCAAAAATGACATGCTGGCCAAATCTGAAGCTCCATCTCGGGGATTTTCCAGAAGCAACTAATGGATACAACTATGTTGATTACTGAGAAGACTAATATATTTGAGATTGACTCCTGATTCCACAAACACCAGCTCAAATAATAAACAATTATGGCTAAAGACACAATAGCATCTGTGAGATCACCTATAGCAACTTAAGAAAGTATGTGGTTCAAGCCTCCAGGACTTTGGCCTAGTGGTAAGAGCACACCTCGGGATGCGTGGTTTAGAGGCACGTCACAGCTTTGATCAAAGCCTAGTATTCAAGTGGAGAAGGTAGAGGGGCGGGCCCATTATCCACCGAGTTTCGAATCGTGCGACACTACCCATCGAGAGTTTCTCGGTTATTAAAAAAAAGTATGCAATTCAGACCACTCAGCCATGCAAAAGGCAAGCCAATCAAGTCAGATGTGCTAGAAGATGAATTTACCAGAATCTACAGAAAACCTGCACAAAAAATATTATCCCAGTTTCTATACAAGGTAAGACTAATCCAAATCAGCTCATTTCAATATTTTCACAATAAATTGATTCATTTGTAATGGAGTACATCCTTAAAAGGATTTTTAATTGACGAACAGAGGCACGTCACAGCTTTGATCAAAGCCTAGTATTCAAGTGGAGAAGGTAGAGGGGCGGGCCCATTATCCACCGAGTTTCGAATCGTGCGACACTACCCATCGAGAGTTTCTCGGTTATTAAAAAAAAGTATGCAATTCAGACCACTCAGCCATGCAAAAGGCAAGCCAATCAAGTCAGATGTGCTAGAAGATGAATTTACCAGAATCTACAGAAAACCTGCACAAAAAATATTATCCCAGTTTCTATACAAGGTAAGACTAATCCAAATCAGCTCATTTCAATATTTTCACAATAAATTGATTCATTTGTAATGGAGTACATCCTTAAAAGGATTTTTAATTGACGAACAGAGGCACGTCACAGCTTTGATCAAAGCCTAGTATTCAAGTGGAGAAGGTAGAGGGGCGGGCCCATTATCCACCGAGTTTCGAATCGTGCGACACTACCCATCGAGAGTTTCTCGGTTATTAAAAAAAAGTATGCAATTCAGACCACTCAGCCATGCAAAAGGCAAGCCAATCAAGTCAGATGTGCTAGAAGATGAATTTACCAGAATCTACAGAAAACCTGCACAAAAAATATTATCCCAGTTTCTATACAAGGTAAGACTAATCCAAATCAGCTCATTTCAATATTTTCACAATAAATTGATTCATTTGTAATGGAGTACATCCTTAAAAGGATTTTTAATTGACGAACAGAGTTGTCCTTCCCTTTATAGTGTCTGATACACGGAACTTTAGAACCCCCTTCAATCCCCCATTTCTTGAGGAGGTAAGGAACGCCGAAACCTC